GGGTTCGGTTCTTGGCCCAGTTCTTTTTCTATTGTACTTGAATGACTTGGCTAGACTAGATATTCGAGGCCGTTTTACCATTTTTGCAGATGATACGACCATCTTGTGGCTTGATGAAGATGCTAGTTTATTAAAAGATATCATAATTGAAGACCTACGACGTGTGAAGGAGTGGTGCGACGCAAATTTACTTTGTTTCAATTTAAATAAAACTAGTGCTATTTCTTTTAGGTTTGTGTTGGATGATCTGAATGTGGACAATTATTTCGTGGCAAATAAGGCTAGCTGCAGGTTTCTGGGCTTGCACATAGACTCGGATTTAAAATTTAAAGAGCATATATTGTATCTGAACAAGAAATTGGCATCTGGATGCTTTGCTGTTCGTATTGTCACGGGGCGGCTGGGGTCACTCATGGCTAAGTCGGTATATTATTCACTTGTCGAGTCTCATTTGAGATATGGGATTGCATTATGGGGTTTTTGTAACAAACAACTTTTTAATTCTGTGTTTGTCCTACAGAAGAGGGCGCTTAGGTATTTATGCAAATTGAAGGCTAGGGACCATTGTAGGCCATTGTTTGTTCAGGAAGAAATCCTCACATTGCCATGTATTTTTATTTTGGAGACTGTCTCCTTGGTGCACAAAAAGTATAGAAATTTTATAAATCCCAACATCCACAACACACGTTATGGACATAATATACCATTACCAATACCCAGAAGTGGTTTTACCAAAAACTCTTTAATGTATGAAAGTTTAAAGATATACAATCATTTTCCGGATGAGTGGAAGGGTCTCCATGATCTTAAGAGTTTTGTAAAATGTGTAAAGTCCGTTCTAAAATTGAAGGCATACTATAGTTTAGAAGAGTTCTATAAGGATGTTTTTTAGTCGTTTAATCTTATATTAATTTTTACTTTGATTGTTTTGTTTTAACTATTATATCGAGATTTTAAAAAAGTATTCCTGTTTTTGTGTAAATTTTGTATTTTAACTTAATTTTATCTAATCGGAATAGTATTTGTAGTATATTTGAACAATTGACTAGCCCTAAGTTATGTGTCTATAATTTATTTTGTATTGAGTATTGCTAAGATTTAGAATTTAGGGTTAAATTTATATTTTTTAGGCTTTGTCAATGAGTTTATTCTTTAGACAATAAAGCGTTATTTGATTTGATTGATTTGATTGAAACTGAACCTCGAGACAGCAATGAAGTTTCCCGTCGAGGTTTGTATACTATTTTATTTTTAACCATAATTTCTTGAAAAAAATAAATAAATTCTTGACAACCAAATAAATGAGGACGGGAAATATTTCCCTGCTCCATTTTCCGTCCGTGGACGGGAAATGAGGACGGAAAAAATTTCCCGTCCTCATTTCCCGTCCTGGGACAGGTAATGGACCAGGAAAATGAAAAGACAGAAATGTGACATTTTCGAATTTTTGAAAAGTCAGTAATGACAACATTTCATATATGGTTAAAAATAAACTATTTTTTGTGCTACCCATTCTGTAAGTTGACTTTTTTGACCTACGTCCATGAACTGTAAGTGCCACTTACAGTCCGGGTCAAAAAAGTTACTTTCTTGACCGGGCCAAAAAAGTTACTTTTTTGACCCGGTCAAAAAAGTGTTGATATGAAAGGTGAAAATTGCTTTCATATCTCTGTCAAAATAATGTGACAAAAACACTCGACTTCTTAAATAAAAAACTCAAAACAAATTAAGGATACAATTTTATTGAAACAAATAGAAAATACCTATGGCCATTTGGACCGACTATTTTAAGGTAGCCTAAGCGATAAGTATTCCTTAAAGTGACATTTTTCCATCTAAAACTGTCATTTTAAAAGATACCTACTTATCGCTAAGAGTTCCTTAAAATGGTCAGTGCAAATGGCCATTAGACGTCCAAAAGTTGAAATTAGCATAAACAGATAGGTACCTACCTAGTAATATAAAAATGCGATACTTCATGGTTATTTACTTTTTAATTTTGAAAGTAAAAGAAACATTTGTACAATTAGTTACATTTAACATAGGCATACTTTCCTGTATTGAAGTCGAAGAACTTAAAATATTAGAATCCTTACTACTAAAGGAATCCTCGACTATCATAGAGGAACTTGTGCTGGGAGTTGCGGATTCAAATCTTATATTCTCGCTGCTACCTAGAATTCTTCTGGCCGTATCTACTTTATTTGCACTTGAGTCGGCCGCGACTGTGGAAGATCGCCACCCTCCGTGCCTTTTTAAAGCGAGAACATCCGCACCCGTATCTGCCAAAAGTGTTGCCGAAGTTCTTCGAAATGAGTGTCCCGTGTAAGACTCAGGATTGTCCAAATTCAAGTACTTGGCAATATTATAAGAAACTTTTCCAAGGGTAGTTTTACCAGCAACTTGATTGACACATTTCCGTACCTCATACCTCAAAAAGAGTCGTCTATGATCAGTGTTCTTGGGCCTTAAGTTAACATATTTTCTGAATATACCAAGGCAATCAATATTATTTTCAGTATCATTGATAATTGTAAACGAACGTCTGGTTTTATTCTTGCTATCTGGAATTTTTATTATTATCACATCCCTCTTATCTTCAATGTCACTTAATGTCATCTTGAGCAATTCGTCTTTACAGCATGCTCCAGCAACGCCAATGAGTGCAACTACCTACAAAATAAAGACTACTGTTTTATGGAATAGTTCTAAAGCCATATTCATACCTTCATCAACAAATATTGACTGTCTGGTGCCTCCTTCAAAAATGTCTTTATTTCCTGCCTTGAAAACACATTTGATTTTTTGGGATTATAACCATCGTTTCTCCTTTTCAAAAAAGCTCTCAATTTTGGAAATTTAGAAATATCTATACTGTCATTAATGGATAATGTTGTCTTGAGCATAGAGTATTCACTCCACAAACTTGCTGGACTCTTCAAATGTTGGGAACGCTCAAAGAAATATGCCAAAAGTGCATTTTCATCAACAATATTCAAATGCTTCACCGCTTGCCACTCTTTAAACTTGGAATATATAAATGTGTACCTCTCTTTCGATTTTTCGGGCAGCAATAAGGCACAAGCATTCGCTGCTGCTTCTTCTACGCCGGTTTCTACTTTCTCGCACATTTTTTCACTAATAATAATTACACTTGACTATGACTTGAACTTTTTTTTTGTCAAAATAAACTTGACATTTCAATAAGAATTTCGTTGCCTGGCAATTAAAAAAAAAAAGACAATTCAACGAATACGTTGACAACGCCAAATTTGTTCACAATTTTGATTGTAATGGTTGCTAGCATAGGGTGCATGGAACTAGTAGGTCAATTTAAACAATAATACAACAAACTGGACACTAGTTAAAATAATAGCTTTATTTGCGAAGACGATCCCAAACTAACCCTGAACGCTAAAGTAAGAATCACACCATAAAAAGCCATTAATATTGTTTCATATCAATGGCTTTTCATGATGTGATTCTTTCCTTATATTAGCATTCAGGATCAGTTTGGGATCTTCTTCGCGAACAAAGCAAATAGGTGCACCATCAAATTCATGATATTTATTATCTTGAATGTACGGTAGCACAAAAAATATCATATGCACCTCGACTTGTAGCGTGTACTTTTTTGGCCTCAAATGCTTGCAAACTTCGGCCCTACGGGCCTCGGCTTGCAAACTGCATCCTCGGCCAAAAAAGTAACACTTACAAGCCTTGGTACATAAATAACTATTATTTTTAAACATAATTTCTTGAAAAAAAAAATTCGGGACAACCAAATGAGGTCGGCAAATGAAGAGGAAAATGAGAACGGGAAATATTTCCCTGCTCCATTTTCCGTCCGTGGACGGGAAATGAGGACGGAAAAAATTTCCCGTCCTCACTTTCCGTCCTGGGACAGGTAATGGAGCAGGAAAATGAAAAGACAGAAATGTGACATTTTCAAATTTTTGAAAAGTCGGTAATGACAACATTTCATATATGGTTAAAAATAAAACAATTTTATTTACAATCATACATGTAATGTTGACTTTACTGACTTTTAAAAAGTTCGAAAATGTCACTTTTTTGACTTTTACTTTTGGCCCACGGGTCGAAAGTTTACTTTCGACCCGTGGGTCGAAAGTAAATGAAATTTTTAAAATTTATTGTATTTTTTGATTCTTACTTTTGGCCCACGGGTCGAAAGTAAATGAAATTGTTAATTATTGTATTTTTGAGTTTTAATCCAAATGAAAATTTCAAAATTCGAATGATTGTAAATAAAATAGTATACATACCTCGGTGAAAAGTTTCATTACTGTCTCGAGATTTCAGTTAGACCTCGGCTGCGCCTCGGTCTAACTTAAATCTCTCGACAGTAATGAAACACTTTCCACCTCGGTATGTAATATACTATTAAGTGTCAAAACTAGGCTAAGCGGGTAGAAAAATTTTTGTCGATGATAAAAATGAGACAACAGACCGTCACCATTTAAAAAAAAGCATATTGTATTAGCAGTAGAAGCTCCTTCTTGTAAATTGTATGTTGCTGCCAGTCTCACCTTTTTCATTTGGCCAACATATAAAGGTATCTTTTTTACTCCTAATAAAACAAAATGTAGTTACTGACTTTAACTGCATGATGATGAGACTTGGCTCTGTGAACTTCTCTCCCCAATAATGGATGGATATCATGATGGACATCAGGATGGACCCACTGACTGACCCAGATATCATGGAAATAAAAATCTACTTTTTTATACCTACATTCTACATTGTTTACATATTTGCCAGTATTGTTGGGCATGTGTATTTTTTATATTTTCACTAGATAATAAGTATTTGAGTGCTTGAAATGTGATGTTAAAAATAATGTTTTTGATATTTATAACCCAATCAAATTTTAGCCTTGCATTTTGGAAGAGTTAGTTGACATTTTGTAAATGGGGAAGAGATGCTATGTTTAAAAATTTGATTCTTTAGCAATAAGTATTATAATAAGTTATATTTACATTATATTCATTAAAGCAATCATCACAGTAACACATTGAATCAGATGAATCTGCCTCCACATCACTGGCCCTCCTGTATTTTCTCCATTTCTTTAATCTCCACCAATCTTTAAAATGTGGCCAATCCATGATTTCGATTTATTCCGTCAAATTTTTGGTATATTCTGACAATAAACCATTAGTCACTTTTTAAATTTTTTAGGTTGAAGATTTACAATTTATTAAAGTCAACAGAGTGCCTTCACACACCCACAAAAAAACACAATCTTTCTATAACAAAATTAAAGTTAAACTTTCACATAAATTATAGACAATGTCAAGAGCAATAGTTTGTGTTTACCACTCAAAATTGAACTACCTATTTCTAAAACAACGTAATTTCATTATTCATTATGCTATCAATAAAATATTCAATCAAGGCTAAACTACTGCTTCAAAAACACTCTCTATGTAAACCAGTTGATAATAAAAAGATAAATAAGCTGCGAGTAAATATTTAACGAAATTCAGTAACAAGTAACGATCCAGAAAATTTATGTGAGTAGCAACAATAAAAAGAGGTTTACATAGTTCTTTACATAGGAAATTAGGCGGATAGGTACACATTAGGCCTGATTTATAAAATTGAGGTTCAGTTAGTTCACTGCGGAATCGTAAGTTATTAGATGTTTATTTTAATTTGATCAACAATCATGTGATCTGATACTTTATTTCCTTTAGTACCTAAATCACCTAAATTTGAAGTTTTTGCATGCTTCAACAAACTAAACTTAAAACCTCAAGCATCAACTTCAAGTATATTTATGTAAATGCATTTCTGCTATTTATAGTTAAGCACTTTTGAAGTAATTTTTTGAAATGTGCTTGTCAGTGATTTGTTATTGTTATAAACTTTACATAATTAGTTGAATAATATCAATACTAATCAAGCATGTTAGCAGAAAATGAAAACTAAAATAGTATGTACCAGCTGCCAGTAAGAAGGTGCAACAGTTGGATTATCAGCGTCCTGTATAATTACCGTTGGTATGGGCCCCTTAGGGGCGTTCATTATCAACCAGTAGAACAGAAAAAATAGGTATACAAATTTCCACAACTTACGGCGCCCACATAGAACTGTGCTGGTCGATATGCAACTTTATTACGAAGCCCTTGATATCCTTGTTCCAATTCTGTATAAGACATAACACCATTGGAACATACCTAAAAGGCGTTCACTGTTCACTGAATGATTGATTTTATTTGCAATTGAACTTGTCCAGGGTTTTCTCTGAAAATAATTTTATAATTTATATTGAGCAGGTCAAGTTGGTATTGATTTTATTGGCACTATTTTCAAAACATTCGAAACATACCAGAAATTGAACGAATTAATAATTCTTCCTCGCATGTATTTCAATTTACATCAAATAATTCCAATTTGGAAATTGATTCCTAAATTCGTATATAATAAATAGATTAGGGTAAACTGATAAATTTGTAATTTTAATTTTTTTTCTATCCAAATTCCAGCAGCCAACTTCCCTCTCTCTTCTTCGCTCTTCTCTTCTCTTCTCTCTTCTTCAATGTCAAAAACGAAACGTCAACAGAGGTGCTTTCCAGTGACCCATTTGAGTTACTCCTGAGCAGCTCAGGAGTGCTCCACAATTACTTTGTGCGTTCCAGTGCTTAGAGTGTGGTACACTTGAACTACTCATTTCTGTTATCCCCCTCGTGCACCAACCTTTATTTCGGTGTCCCATGCTCCTGAAGTCCGAAATGGTGGGTGTTAAGACCAGAGCGTTCCAGTGCTGCTTATGTCGAACAGTTCAAGAGCGTCACACTTCAAGAGCATGATACTCTAACAATTTAGGCACTGGAAAGCAGCTCAGAACAGCAAGGATGATACACACTACTACTACTGGATGGCTTATCCTCATAAAGCCTGTGTGTAACAAATCCCCCTTACCTCTCCAAGCCAAACAACCAGTTGTGACGTAAGCAATATGGCGTTTCTCGCCTTGACGTTGGCTTTTTAAACAGCTGACGACTTAGTTATGACGTCGGCAATGGTTTAAAACCAATATGGCGGAACGAGGCCGATAAGCACTCCAGTGTGTATTCTCCTTGACAGAACAGGGGCGCTTTCTGTTTCTACAGGGGCGAGTTCAGGAATGACACACCCAATGTGAGTGTGACATCGGTGCGACGCCCTAGATGTTCAAAAATGCTAGACGGTGCTATGGGCCCAATGGCCAATTGTCAATTCAGACACACCCATAAAATCGCACTCGCACCCTGTGCGTTATTTCTGAACTCGGCCCTGCACATAGTATTCCTTTTATACATCGAGTTACACCTAATGAGCTCCTCGGATTCACTCCAAAACACACAATTCAGATTTTATCATTATTTTTTAATATCATCATTACCGTCATTACCTGAAAGGGCTTCTTAGCTTTTGGTTACGTGGACTTGGAGCAAGGAAAAAGGGAAGCAAAAAGCTGAGTTTGGTAGATTCAGCCATTAATCACCGGAGTTGAAGTAGAGTCAGATCAGAGCAGACATTTGTTGCGTATTCTCGGAGTATGCGAATATACGAATAACGGATTCTACGCACGTCCAACTTAGGTATTGTCTGTCGATTTTAATCTGATACTCGGACGGAATGTGAGCTGGTAACTCTTTACATTAGAACGCCAATGGCTACCTTACGTCACACCTGTTTTTGCCATATGAAACACCCCCTCGCTCCTCATACGGAAAGTAATAGTTAAAGGGGGTGTGCGCCAAAAAAATAACTTCATCTCAAAAAAAAGAGAAAAAAAAATCTAAGAATAACAGTTAAATCCGCACCCCTCTATGACAAATAATACCGCAGATATGGCTCTATGAAGGTACCGCATCTCACCCTATGACGTCACGAAAGCTCAAGCGACGCACGAGAAAGTCGATTTAATTAAATTTACATAATGTTTTTCCTGTGTTACCTGCAATAATCTAAACAAAAACCACTCACGCGTGCCGGGAACAATCAAATTAACAATGCAGAGCGCCGCTAGACGAAGTTTTCGTGACGTCACGAGAGCGTCGTCCACACTTTAAAGCGGTATATCTCAGCGATGGTTTATCGTAGAATAACGAGGTTTGACCAGTTATTCTTAGATTTTTTTACACTAAAACTTTAATTTTTGGCGCACACCCCCTTTAAAAATCGACGAACAATAGTTGAGAAAACAATTGCGTTCAGCGGCGCTTAACTACTGTATCTCAACTATCCAACACTAAAAACTGATTTTACGATGCAAGTTAGCTGCTGGGTTCTGGCTGGTGAAAGGATAATATATACCAATGAAGTAGAAAGAGGTATGGAATGAGCTTTGCGTCATTCAATTGATTCCAGAATGAGATAGCGCTAGTAAGGGCAAGAAATATATATTCGATCTCCCATATCTCTCTTTCTAACCCTCAGGCAAGAAAATCTCATGGCTCTCCTGTTCTGTCACTCTAATGTTGGCCGCAAATATATGTATTGACTAGATAGGCGAAGGGCTATTCCACCCATCTTACTACTTCATTGTAATATACACTAGTTACCAGGGACCCGGACCGAAATGAAATATCGGTTCCGTTCCGGTTCCGGTCCACAACGTCCTGACGAATATCGGTTCCGTTACGGTTTCGGTTCTAAGAGAAATATTTCGATTCGGTTCGGACCAAATCGGACCAATAATTTCGGTTTTAACGGTTCATACCGGTATCGTTTTTCACAAATATCTAATGGCCATTTGCACTGAACATTTCAAGAAGCATCCATTAAAACGGTCATTACAGAAAAAATTATGTTTCTATAATTTGTGGTTTATTTTTTATGGATTTCTCTGCCTATCTGCAACCAGTTTAATAATCATAATAGGGCTGTTTGCACAGCAATCACAAACCAGAAGAGCGAACTTCATTGGTTGAAAACAATCAGAAACAGTCAGAAAACTAGTTTCAACCAATGAAATTCGCTCTGACTGGTTTGTGATTTCTCTGCGAACAGACCTAATAATAGACTTATCTATTTTTACCTGTTATGCGCGCGCAACACGAGGCAATTTCTTTTTATTGGCTAGCCAATACAGGTGTGAGGTGATCGTTTTGCACGCTGGACATCTCTTTGTCCTTGTTCATTGCACGTGGTCTGACAAGAATAAATCTAAAGTTGATTTTCAACTTGGCAAATGTCATTCAAAAGTTGTTTGACATTTTCATTGACAAATACTTTGCACAACACGCGGTTTTTCTTCTTCCCTTTTTATCCCGTGCAAATAAGAAGGACGGATTTCTATACGTAAGTCTAACATAATTTGGTACATTTTGCCTCGTCTTGCGCAATGAACGTTCTGTGTCTTTTTTTATTTAATGAAGTTTTCGTATTATTACCTCTTTGTCTGGTAAAATAGATAGGTCTATTACTATTAATAAAATAAATTTTTGTGTTTTCGCTCAGTGATGACGTAACAGCGTGTCGTTTCTCGCCTTGACGTAGTGCTTGCACCAGTTTGCACCACGGATTAGGAGGTGTTTTCTCGCGTCTCAAAGTTTTGAAACATTTTCCAAAACTGGTTTAAATCAGTTTCACAATGACGTCATAATTTCTCGGCATTAGGAAATGGTTTTAAAACGTGGATTGGATTGTATTTCAAAACGGTTTAGAACCATAGTAAATTATTTAATATTCTAAAACAACCCTTATTTAGATGTCATTTGCATCTTCCTCTTGTCTATTGACTATTTGTTAATCAAGTTTAAATTATATTTTTCATCATGCATGTATATTTTTAACTACGAACGCAAACCGCTAACGAGACCGTTGATGACGTCGCCAACGGTTCAACAACATATGAACTTGATTCTAAAAATCGAAGCCGATGAGCAATCCTGTAGTAGTATGTAAAAACCTTGGTGTGTAGCCTAGCCGAGTTCAGAAATGCGCGCTCAATGTCCAACGCTCTGTTTTTTAAAGTGTTAATTTTATTATGATACAACCAAACAGCAAACAGCTTAATTTATAAAATCTTGGAACCGAAAAATAACGGTAAGAACCGATTAATTTATATCGGTTCCGATTCCGCCTGCCCTACAACATTTCTATGAAATATGGGTTTCGTTCCGGTTCCGGTCCGCAAAAAAAAAACGGTTTCGTTCCGGTTTCCGGTCCAATATCGTTCCGGTCCGGGTCCCTGCTACTTACTACTACAGGATAGCCGATAGCTTATTCTGATAAGGCCTATGGCCTGTGTAGTACAAATCTCAAGCCCCCTCCATTCCAACGCACCAGTGATGACGTAGACAGCGAACAAGGATGATAGATACACACTAGTCTACTACGCAGGATTGCTTATCCTGCCTCGTTTTTAGGAATCGCGATCTGTTAGTTATTCTGATAACATCAGTATAATTTTTTTTCCAAAAAAATACGCTTATTTTTGAAAATAGAATTATTTGAAAATCAATTTTTTAATTGCCGTTAAAACGCGGGATAGGAGAGGGACGTCCATAGAATGGGACGTCACTTTCCGAAACATGCGAGGATGCCGAATTTCTCATTAGTAAACCATTCCCAAACATAACTGACATAGAACTAACTAGTCACAACTACAGTGACTCTATTACCACAGTGGCGACAATTGCTGTCTTATTTTTGATTGGTTCTAAAATCCCATATATTTATATTGAAAACACCGCCATCTTGTTCCCAACCTCTTGTTACTTTTGAATAGGAATATATGGGATTTAGGTGAACATCCATCATAAATCATGGAAAACAACGTATTTGATGGACCTAATAATGGTCATCAAATACGTCGATATCAATTTTTTATGATAGATGTCCATTTAAATCCTATATATTAATATTTAAAAGTAACAAGAGGTTGGGAACAAGATGGCGGCGGGACCTCTATTGTCGCCACTGTATGTAAAGGTTTATTTAGCCACTGTAGTCACAACCTATGACCTATTTTTGTCCTTTACTACTTCATAAAAAAAGGAAGGAAAGGTATAATCGGTGAACCCTTGCTTCCTAGTAAATTGATCCTAAAATATTTCGGCATTTCTACATTTCTTATGCGCATGACTATATCGACTATATCCCCATAAAGATATAGTTTGTTAGGATAGTACGCGACGCACAACTGACAACGTAAACGTCGTCATTGGTTCAGGTATGACGTAGACCCGTTTTCTGACGCTGACGCTGACGTCAGGGAACGGGTGTACGTCATACCTGAACCATTGACGACGTTTACGTTGTCAGTTGTGCGTCGCATACTATCCTAACAAACCGTACCTTAAGAGACAAGTGAAAATGAACTATTGTACGCAGCGTTTTTTTTTTTTTTTTTGGTCACCACTTTTTATTTATTAACAGAGCCCCCCCAAACCCAAATCCTGGATACGCCAATGCGCTCACAAATGAACGCCCCAATGCAGGAAGTGCTGCCACGAACAACACAAAAAAAAAAACCTTACCTCTTTGATGAGAAATATATTAATTAATTATACGCGAGAAACGACACGCTGCATACGTTCTTCACTGATTCTTTGGCGCGGTGGGGGCTTTAGATTTGATCCACACAGGCCTTATCCTTATGAGGAGAGGAGAAGCTATCAGCTATCCTATGCTAAAGTCCAACAAATACCATTTTAAAGTCACGTGATTTTTTTCTATCCTTGTAAACAGCGGTGATAGTAAAATTGACAAAAAAATTGGTGTCTCATTATCATAGCTTAGGGCGGGTGTTATAAAACTGCTTTGACAGTTAACTTGAAGTTAACTTTTTGAATTACATGTAATTCCAGAAGTTAACTTTAAGTTAACTCTCAAAGTAGTTTTATAATACCCGCCCTTATTGGGTTTGTTTCTGCAGAAATCACAAACCAGTCAGAGTGAATTTTATTGGTTGAAACTAGTTTGCTAACTGTTTCTGACTATTTTCAACCAATGAAATTCG